TGTATTTTTATGTCAAAATTAACCGTGTTTATCTTTCACTATTGACATTGATGTTTATCTATATCTATCATTTATTTAAGTTATTTGGTTGATTTTTAACTTATTTTTTGTATATATATATTTTAATAATGAAAATTGGTTTCATTAATAAAAATAATAGAAGAAATCAGAACTGCAATGCACCAAGCATAGAGAAAAAATTGGGGATAATAGTCGCATAAAAATTGGGGATAATAGTCGCATAAAAACCTCATAATAAAACAAAAGTATTAAACCCAAAGATATGAGGGAAAACGAAATCTTCCTTTGAGGATGACGTCTAACATCAAAAGAACATAATAACCTTCATAAAACTTCATGTATTTGTCAAACGAGATGTTTTACAAATTGATATAAGAGTGGTGAGCGAACCAAACTATATGATATACTGATTTGTTACACAATTTTGATTATGTCGACAAACAACCTTTTTACCAAAGAGTATATCTAGCTATATGTGACCATCAACAAACTAATCATAAAACAAATGTCGTGAGTCTTTATGTGAGCACTAAAACAATCGCAAAGGTATGTAAAAAACGTACCAAAAGCCATAAGGAACGTATCACTAGAACAGAGAAAAAACATGTCACACAAGAACAGAGAAAAATGTGTCACAAGAACATAAATTCTTATTCAAAATTGAAAAAAAAAGAACTCAAAAAAAAGGAAAACAAGAAACATGGTGTGAAAAAAAATAATCATTGATGGTCGACAACCAACATTAAAATTGATGTTGCTGTCAGATAAACAAAAATCAAAAGAAAAGAGAAAGACAATATCAAAATACTAAAGGAAATGATAGATATTGAGAGAGAGAAAATATAGATACGATGAGTATTAATATATATATATATATATATATATATATATATATATATATATATATATGATCGAAAAGGAAAGATTTCTAGCTACAAAGAATCTTAAAATATTTATAGGTGTGATTAGGCTTAGAAGTTGTATCCTGTGAGTGATTTATTGCTCTTTTGCAGAAAAAAGGAAGAAAAAAAATATTCCCAAGATTTACAATTATTGCCAAAACTTTGTTTAGATTGTAAGTTTAAGTCAATAATTTGTTGGGTGCTCAAACCAAGTTTAGGACTTAAGACAATGAAAGAATACCTAAGTGATCAATGATATTTCTTCTTTTCTTTCTCTTTTACATATAAAGTTGAGCACATTTTATTAAAAAAATATAATAGTGTATATTTTTCTTTGTGATCGGCGGTGGCACCTACTGGTTGCTGACCACCGGTATTTGTTATTTTTCTTTTTCTTTATTATAATGTATATTTGTTTTTTTTTCTTTTTTATCTTCTTAATAATTTTGTCTTTTTTGGCATGTATTCTTCTGCCTTTATGACACGTTTTTCTTTGCCTCTATAGCATGTTTTCAGTTGTTTGGTCTTTTTTTTTTCATGATTGGATTTGACATTGTCACAACTAATCAAGATGTTTATTTTTTATCATGATGATCTTCACTGCTTTAAACCCTCTGATTGAATTTGGATATGCGATTTACGTTCGTGGATAGTATTTTTATATCGCTCGATTTTGATTTGTGATATGCCAGTAGTCTTTCAATAGCTTTATTCCTTTTTGTGGTTTGTTTGCCAATGCAGTCAGATCTATTCATATTTATCTCTTGTTCGAGTTTATTTGGTTAGTTTTAGAAAAATATTCTTATTATATATTTAGTTTACACATTGTGGGTAAACATTCGTTGTAATTTAGATATTTTCTATTTTTAATAAAATTAGAGATTTTTATAAAAAAATAGTAGAAATATTATTCTCACTTTATTTCATTAGTAATGAACAATTTTAATGTTTTGGATCATATTACACTTAAAATGATATATTTTTCATCTAAAACCCCCTCTTCTCTATTTATTTATTCATGAATAAAAAAATTCTTAAAATAATTTGATTAATATCTAAATATTAATTAATAAATTTTAGTTTTGATAATGAATTTTTTAATTGATTATTGACCAAATTGTTAAAATTTTATTATTTAATTGAATAATTTTAATTTGAGTATATATATAATTAAAAAATTAATATATACAAAAACATAAAATTTACTTATATAAATTTATTTTTAATATATTAATTATATTAAGTATAAAATCATTATGAATTTTAAATTATGTAAGGGAATTAATTTTACAAATTTTGATACAATTACTTTTAATTTAATATTGGAAGTTAAATTTGTTAATATATATAAGATAAGATCATGTTACACAATGTAATTTTTTTTAGTTTTATACACATTTAGGTCTGTTAGATGAGTGAAAATAGACTACTCATATTAACAATAAGAAATGAGAAAATATTCACTGAAAAAAATAATGAGTTAATCTCAGTTGTTTATTTTAACTAATCAAACAATTCTAAATATGTGTATTTTTTTTTAATTTTACATTGTGTAAATGAGTCATAATATATATATATATATATATATATATATATATATCACAAGACATGTTAATAAAATTTACTTTAAAATAATCATATATATTTTTCTGTCTAAATTTTATAATCTTACATTCTGTCTAAATAAAACAAATAAATAATATAGCACTCACAAATAATATGTATAGTAATATTATATTATAATAATTATATTTCAAAAATTATCTTACTGTTCGTGGAATAAATTCAGTTTAAATTTAATTTGCTTCAAATATGACATTGAGTTGTCTGAAATTGTGATTAATTTCTATCTCAACTTAAAGTGAATCTTAATTTGTGAAAAGGAATAATAGGATTTTCATTTTGAAAATAAGACAAATGGACAAAAAGACATTAAGATTTTCAATCAATTACTGAGATTAGAATTAGAAATACCCGTGACAGCTTGTTCTTATATATGCCCATTAATTTGGTGACGTGTTATCTTTAAAATTTTAAAATAATGAGTTTTTATCAAATTTGATTTAGATTAAATAAATATAGATTTATTAATTTCGATTGAATAGAAATTGTTACTTAATTATATAATAAGCTTTTCCTCGAGAAATATTAGAAGAAAAACCGTGGGTCACGTCGCACAATCTGTTAACCGAAACAAATTGATCCATTCTCACCAAACTTTAAGCCTGAAAGCAACGTTCGTTGAAGTATGTATTTAACTTTTTAATATAATATTTAATGATTTTTTTTAAATAATTTGAGGCGATTATAAGATAACACATATTATAAACTTATTTACTTAAAACAAATCAAATTGTAACGATAGTGGGTTTTCTATGGGTGCACGTTAGCAGGCCTAACGACAACCAAGTCCTCCGTCGTGTTCACCGGTGACTGACGGTCCTCTTTCACGGCTTATCGCTTCTTCTCTTCATTTGCTTGGTGAATCTCATGGGTTGGCGAAACTTTTTGGAAGTTCCCCTGGGCAAAATCTAAATTTTTCCCCCTGAGCTTTGCGACGATGTTCCTACGGTGAAGCCCCCCCTGAGATTCTAGAAGCAGGAATGATTGAACGGAGGCTTTCTCTTGTGGGGCAATTCCTTGGGCCTACGCCAAATTTCCTTGCAATGCAGCGTATCGTTCAAAATCTCTGGAAAAAGGCTTTGCAAGGAACCACTGCTCAGTTGAGTTTGGCTGGCAAAAATCTTTATATCTTCTCTTTTAATTCGGAATCTGCAAGGGATTGGATACTTGAAAATGGTCCTTGGCACGTTCTTAACAAGCCATTGTTACTAAGAAAATGGGAACCTAATTTGAAGTGGCTTAATTTCGATCTGTCAAAGATTCCTGTCTGGGTTCACTTATATAACATTCCTCTCAAATTATTCTCTCAAGTAGGACTTAGTTATTTAGCAAGTGCTATTGGTACTCCACTTTCTATGGATTCTATTATGGCTTCTAAAACCAGATTATAATTTGCTACACTCTGTATTGAAATTGGGGTAAAAGATGAAATCCCCAATTATGTTGATGTTATCCTGCAGGATGGTCAGACTGCTACAATCTACGTTGAAATACCCTGGTTGCAACCTCGATGCAAAAAATGCAATGTTTTTGGCCATTCAGAAAAAGGTTGCTCCGAGAAAACTCCTAAAGGAACAATGACTACTCAAGTCTGGATGAAAAAAGTGATCTCATCTCAAGTTATGATGCCTCAACAATAGGAGGAAGTGAAGCTCTTCAAGAGCAGGCTATTGCTGAACCAGTTTGCCCTGCACAACAAGAGAAAGGTGAAAATTTTGATTCTCAACCTCATGCTGACATTGTTAATGATTCATCTGTTGCTCCTATTTCTCTTGATTTGCATGAAATTATAACTGAGTCTTCTGGAATTCTTAATGCCACTGCTAATGATAGTCAAGATGTTACTGATATTTTTGTTGAGTATGTTAATACTGCTCCTCAACTATCAATCTCAAAACGGGGTAGAGGTAGACCCAGTAAAGCTAGTACTGTCTTAGCTGGTTCAAAAAATAGATTTGAAGCTCTTAATTCGATTGACGAAAATACTTCTACCTTAGAAGGGTAGTCTAGGAAGATTAGAGCTGCTTCATTAGGTGTAGCAGGTTTGGTAAAAGAAATAAAGCTAAAAAAGAAGGATAAAATGGATCAAACTAAAAGACTTTCTGTAGATGGTAAGGGGAACTCACTGAGCTCATATTCCCAATGATTATTAGCTTTTGGAACGTTAGAGGATTCAATAATCCTCTAAAACAAGATAGAGTTCTTCAAAAGGCAAAACAAAATAATGTGATTGTTCTATGTCTATTAGAAACTAGAGTCAAGGCTGACAAGTCCAAGGACATTTTTGAATCAAAATTATCTAATTGGAATATTATCTCTAACTATGAGTATGCTGCAAATGGAATAATTTGGGTTTTATGGAAGAATGGATTGGAGTTTACTATTATTCATTCTTCTAACCAATCTATTTCTGCCCAGGCTCGATTTCTTGGTAAATATTTTATTGTTACAACAATGTATGGTAGTAACAATGTCATAATTCGAAGACATCTTTGGCAGCATTTGTATGATCTGAATAGGAGTATTGGTCACCTTCCTTGGATTTTGGGAGGTGATTACAATGTAACCCTCTAACCAAATAAAAGTTCTGATTTTGACTTATTTCCATTATCCTCTCCTGATATGAAGGAATTCCAGAATGTAACTCTTGATCTTGATTTACATGACCATCCCTTTTTTGGGCCTTCTTTCTCTTGGAGCAATAAACAGATGGATTCCTTCTTCGCAAGAAAGCTTGATCGAGTTCTTGTCAATTCCAACTGGGTTAGCTCCTTCCCTATCTCTCTTGTTGAATTTTTCTCTCCTGTAGACTCTGACCACTGTATGGCAATGGTCTGGCTCTCAAAAGATAGGCCAGCCAATCGTCCCAAACCGTTTAGGTTCTTTAATTTCTGGACCTTACATCCTTCCTTTTTGAACTTGGTCGAACAGTCCTGGCAGTGAGTGATTAAGGGAAATCAAATGCAGAAACTTTTCCTTAAACTGAAGTGCCTTAAGTCTACCCTTAGGAATTTAAATTCTACATATTGTAGCGATGTTTCTAATAGGGTTAGACAGAAGAGAACTGAGCTCGAGCAGCAACAACTTAAATCCTTACAAGGAGTCGACTTATTCGGCAATGAACTCCAGGTGCAAAACGAGCTCATCAGATTAGAGGAAGTTGAATTATTGTTCCTAAAGCAAAAGGCTAAAATTCGATGGATTAAAGAATGTGATAAATGCTCCAAGTTCTTTCACTCTGCAGTTGCTGCAAAAAAGAAACTATTCGAGTGCTAGTTGATGATAATGGAAACAGAATTGAAACTTTTGATGCTATGGCCTATGAAATTCTTGACTTATTTTCTAAGTTACTTGGGACTACTGATTCTAATGTCAAAGGTAGTGATCCTCAATTCTTAAAGGATATTCTTAATTCTTCACTGCCTCTTGAATTATCTTCAAGCTTGACCATGGAAATTACCACAGAGGAAATTAAAGAAGCTATATTCTGCCAAGGTAATGACAAAGCTCCCGGCCCGGATGGTTATTTTCCATGTTTTTTCAAAAAAAGTTGGTCCGTTGTTGGAGAAGATGTTGTGACAACAATTAAATATTTCTTTCAGCAGTCTGCTCTTCTTCCTGCTTTTAATGCAACCTCTATTATCTTGATTCCTAAAATTCTTAACCCTTGTAAGTTTAAAGACTTCAGACCGATTTCTTGTTGCATAGTGATATACAAGGCTATTACTAAAATTTTAGTCAACATGCTAAGCAGATTTCTTCCAGATCTTGTTACTCTTATCCAATATGCATTTATAAAGGGAAGGAGTATTGTTGATAACACTATTCTTGCCCATGAATTGGTTAAGGGCTATGGCAGAAACTCTATTTCTCTAAGATGTACATTGAAAATTGATCTTCAGAAGGCCTTTGACACCCTCAGCTGGGATTTTATTTCTGCAGTCCTAAAAGCCATGGATATCCCTCTGACTTTCATTAGTTGGATCGAAGCATATTACACTGAAGCTCTTTTCTCAATTTTGTTTAATGGCAACTTGTTTGGTTTCTTTAAGGGAGCCATAGGTATTAGGCAAGGTAATCCTCTTTCTCCTATTCTCTTTGTTCTCTCCATGAATGTGTTGTCTAAAATGTTAAACTTAGATGCTGCTCGAGGGTTATACGGCTATCATCCTAAATGCAAGAAAATTGAATTAACCCACTTGTCTTTTGCCGATGCTTTGTTGATTTTCTGTTAAGGCAAAACAGTGTCTGTTATTGGTGTTATTGTTGCGTTGGAGTCTTTCTATGAAATGTCAGGCCTCAAATTAAATGCTGCCAAATATGTTTTTTTACTGTTGGAATCTCGCCTAGTAATATTGAATTGATTAAGCAGAGCACTGGTTTTAATCAAGGTTTTCTGCCTGTGAGGTACTTAGGAGTTCCTCTGGTATCCAAAAAACTTATTGAAAAAGACTGCGATCTGCTCATTGGGAACATAAAATTGAGACTGCATTTCTGGTCTGCTAAGCATCTCAGTTATGTTGGTCGTCTTAAGCTCATCCGGACTGTTTTGTACAGCATTGCGAATTATTGGTTCAGATAGCTGGTTCTGCCGAATTCGATTTTGACCAAGATCGAACAACTCTGTTCCAGATTCTTTTGGAAAGGAACAGACAAGGTTGCTGCTGGTGCGCGCATTAGTTGGATGAAAATCTGTCAGCCTAAATCGGAAGGTGGTCTTGGACTGAAAATATCAAATTATGGAATAAGGCTTGCATGGTTAATCTGATTCGAAAGATGTTGGCTGGTGATGGGTCCATTTGGGTTGCTTGGATCAAGGCCTAAGTGATTAAGGACCACGATCCTTGGCTTATGACTACGAGTGCCAACCTTAGTTAGTGTTTAAAAAGGCTGCTCAAGATCAAGAACGAAGTTTTTCCAGTTTTATCTAAGGGAGTAACTAAAACAAGAGATATATGGGAAGAACTTAGAGCGAAAGGCAACAAGGTCCAGTGGGAAAAATTGGTTTGGTTTTCCTTACACATCCCTAAGCACACTTTGATCACTTGGATGGCTTTACAGGATAGGCTTCCCACTCGTGCTCGGCTTCAAAGAATGGGAATCCACATCGATGGGTGCTGCTTGTTTTGCAATGAAGCCAATGAAACGCGCGATCACTTATTTTTTTATTGCTACTTGGCGAATTGTCTTTGGGGGAATATTTTGACCCTGTTTGGATTGCAGAAAACAACTCTTTCATGGGAGGATACGGTTGCTCAAGCATGTGAAAAGTGGAAAGGTAAATCCCTTATCACCACCGTCTTAAAAATTGTTTGGTATGCCTTTATTTACACTTTTTGGGAAGAACATAATCGTAGAATATTTAAAGGTTGCTCAAGAACTGCAGACGAAATCCTCAAATCTGTCAAAGACGTTGTTGGAATTCAACTTCGAGGAAAGAATATTAACCGTTTAGATAGTATTAATATCAATCTTTGTAATGCTTGGGGTATAGTTTAACCGATCATTCTTTTTGTAAGTAGGTTGTAATGTTTTGTGATTGGTGATTGGTTGTTTTTTACTTTGTATTTTGACTCTTCTTTGGGTAATAAAATTTTTATTTATCCAAAAAAAAACAATCTCTTTTACTACTAAGACCTCATAAATTCAATATCTAATAATTTTAAAGTTAAGTATCAAAATTTGCGTGTTTTCAATATTTAATTTATGATATATAAAAAATAAATATTAAAATTACAAGACAATTTTAGTTTAATATATAATTTATGTGTTATATCAATGATGATGGTTATGATAAATAAAATAATCAGTTTAAATCTTAAATAAGAAATATAATAAAACTTCTATAAATTAATATTTAATAAATTAATAATCTCTCTAAAATAATAATTTTTCTTGGTCCCGACTTAGGCTTAAGGTCTAAATTAATAATTTTGATAAATTAATAAGAAATTTTTTTTTTTTGAAAAATCCTTATATAAATTTATGGTCTCTTCAATATTATAAATTGATAATTCTATAAAATAACAAAATGCAACTATAAAAAATTTAGTAAAATATGATTCTATTGTTGTTTGCTTCTTCTTAAAATTTAAATTTAGCTATATTTTATCTCTAACTTTCCTTACTGCATTCAAAAATTTCGGTATTGCATTCTTATACTGTAACAAAAAATTATGAAGAGTTGTTGCTGTTATGAGTGTTTCCTTCCGCATAATTGGTTACAAAGGCATTGTATCATCTTCAATTTCATCCTTAATAGGATTTTCAATACTATTAGCTACAATTTCTTCTAAACTTTGGTTGCAAAGACATTGTACCATATTCAGTTGTTGCCGAAAGGTACTCAGATGATCGCTTGAGTGTGTTTGATATTATACCTTGACTAACTTTCAAATGAAAATTTTCATCAGTTCACTATTGTAAATCTTTTTTAGTGCATGTGGGGTGATCTCTCTTATACTCACGTAATGCTTTACATATTTGATTTGTCATGGTTGATCTTTAGGCACCTTTTAGATGCGAAGTCATGGTTGGTTGATTTTGATTTGAATTGATTAGTTAGGAATATTTGATGTTGTTTAATTAGTAGTTAATTTTCTTACCATACATGAGCATATGTTAAGTTTTAACTAGAACTACGTACTACAATAGAGATGCATATTATATTCAATTAGTCACATTGTATATGAATATCATTCAATTAGTTAATACAATTTATATGTTTTATTCATGAAGAATAATATGTAAGTTCGTTGAATCGAAAAAAAATCTTTTTAAATTAATAAATTATTAATTTAAAGAAACTTTATTGTAATTATTCTTAAAAACACTCAAATTCATAATTTCAAAATATTATAAAATAATAATATAAACTAAGCTAATAATCAGTCGTATAATTTATGAAAAATAATTCAAAATAAGATTTTCCATATAAAACTTAAATTCGTGTGTATTTTTAAAATTTATCCCAAAACAATTTTTAATTTTTTTTCAAAGTCATATATTCCAACCCTTAAAATGTAATTAAATAAAAGGAAAAATAACCAAATGACAAACAGATATCTTATCCAGATTTTCCTTGGTAATCAAACAAAATCCGAAAAGAAAAAGAGAAATGACGGTGACCGAATGAAGAAGAAAAAGAAATATGTGCCCGCACACGTTACACAGAATCTAGGGAGAGATCACAACTATATATATATATATATATATATATATATATATATATATATATATATATGTAAAATTAATTTTACAATTATATTATTAAATCTAACTAAATATTTATAAAAATATTGGATAATATAAAGAAATATCTTCTGTCTACATAATGCAGATAACATGCTTTCATCGTACTAATAAACAAATATAAAAAAATTAAATTACTAATGATTTTATTCATTAATAAATCATATTATTACATATAAATTTATACTCTCACACAACATGCTTCTGATAATATAAGTTTCCATTTGGTGCAAAATACGTATAGTTGCCGTTCTGAGAACAAATCTATTTTTCTTCTCTCTCACAAGCTCTTTATTTCATTCATTTAGATTAAACCCCAAAGCAACTCCAACTCTTTCTTCCCTTCTTTCTCTGATCTCTCACGAGCAACCAAGCCTTTTGTTAATGGAGTTGATCGATACTGTTCTGGACAGACAACCTCAAGAAGAAGAAATTATGCAGAAACAGAAGCAGGGGGAGGAGGAGGAAGAAGAAGAAGAAGAAGAACGACGTCGTTTCCATGTTTTGGCTGTCGATGACAGCGTGATCGACAGGAAGTTATTGGAGAAGCTCCTCAAAGCTTTTTCATGCCAAGGTAAGATCATAAATTAACTTTTTTTTTTCTTCTTTTTGAAGCTGTTTAGTTCATGATGTATATAATTGCAGTGACGTGCTTGGAGTCTGGGGAAAAAGCGTTGGAATATCTAGGGTTGCTTCATAACTCAACAACAGCTGCTTCGTCTTCGCAACAACATCAGGTTTTAAATATCATTTTTGCTCGTTTTACAATAAAAATATTTTATTTTTATATTCATTTTACGATAAAAAATTATTTCAGTTTAATTATATTTTTATCGTATATGTGTTTTTTTAAAAATTTATACACACAACTTTTTAATAATAAATATTATTTAAATATTAAAAAAACTTCAAAATGGAAATTTTAACTTGTCAGGTCAGCGGTCATAAAATTTACTGGTAGAATATTTGTACTGTTAAATTAAAAATTTAAGAATCAAGTAAGATATATATACACATAAATCAAGATAATTGGCTTAAGAGTTCCTTCAATTATAATAAAAATAAATAAACTATTTTTTCATGATTTACGTCAATCTGAGGAGTAATCATGAATCCAAAATTGAAAAATTGTATTTTTTTAATTTTTTAATTTCTAGTTAATCATGTATAATTATTTTTTTCCTTCAATGGCTACATTATTCAATGCGTCCTTTTCTTTATAACATGCTAAAAGATTAATTATTTTTCCCTTAATGGCTACATTATTCGATGTTTCTTTTTCTTTAATACATGATAAAAGAGAAAAACAACCACTAAAAGAATTCATTTAACCACCATCAATGCTAGCTGTTTTTGCTAACAAAATTGGGTTTCTCTTGCAATCTTATTTGTTTATATAATTAAAGTTGCTTATTAATTTTTATATTTTTAATGTAAACTAATATTTTCTTGTGATTTTTTAATAAAATATAGGCACTTAACGTCAACTTAATCATGACAGACTTTTCCATGCCAGGAACGAGCGGCTATGATTTACTCAAACGCGTCAAGGTGAACCCAATCATACCTAATTATGTAACTATAATTCTTAAATTTATTCTCCATTTTTAAATATCATACGGTCTCTTACATAGATAGGATTTCAAAACTCTAGTTTATAAAATGTTAATAACCACTGTTCCCTTGGTAAAATATCTATATGATTTAGTGATATAATTTTTAATAAAATTATAAGAAAATATAAGTTGAAATATTATCACACACAGTTTCTTTTTAAAAGTATAATTAATAAATGTATTTTTATTGATTAAATCGATTTTAAATAAATGAAATGATTTCATATTCTCAATTATTACAAAACCGGATAAATGATCCATTTTTTATTGTGCCAATTCATCCAGCATAAAAGAGGGATTTTAACCTCTTAACTTCCCAACTTTCCAGCATATATAGCTAAACAAAATCTAGTAAATCAATTAAACAGTATTTTTTAAAATTATTAACATTTTTTTTCTAGTTCACATTTTAAAGATGATACTATAACTTAGTATTTACTTACAATTGCAGGGATCTTCTTGGAAAGATGTGCCAGTGGTGGTGATGTCATCAGAGAATGTACCTTCAAGAATTAGCATGTAAGTTTTTTTTTTTTTTTTTGCCTTGAATTAGCGTGCAAGTTTGTTGTTCACATCTCACCCTTTTTCTTTGGAGAGAAAGAGAAAGAAGAAAAATTAAAACAATGAGTTGAGAAAGAAATTGAATTGATTAAAGTAATTGAGAAAATGAATGAGTGCAGGTGCCTAGAAGGAGGAGCAGAAGAATTCATGTTAAAGCCTCTTCAATTATCAGACCTACACAAAATCCAAGCTCACCTTCTCAAATCCCTTCCTCATCCTTAGTTCAACCATCCACCACGACGATGACGACGTCAAACATAATATTAGAAGAATGACAATGGTTAACGTCTATAACTTTAGCAAGAGATAATGGCCTAATATATCTTCTGACGCTAGTTAAAGAAGAGACCAGAAATGAAACGACTAGCAGTAGTAGTATGAAAGTGTACAACGTACTTTGTTAGGGGAACTAGTAGTATGAAAGTGTACAACGTACTTTGTTAGGGGAACTAGTAGTATGAAAGTGTACAACGTACTTTGTTAGGGGAACTATCTCCTTGGTTAACGCAAATATTCAAATCCACGTGTATTAGATTTTGGGTTCATGTCTAAAACATTATAAATGTAACACACCCTCATACCGATGCAGGTGACCCGACCCGATCTGAGATGTCACATTAGGGCCACCAGAGCGACCTGTAATAAAAATCCATGAAAAATTTAATTTTTTGTTAAAACATGTAAAATCATAAAACAATTTATAAATAAAATACAAGTTTAGAAAATCATTTATATACAAACTATAGAATTCAACCTATATGCCCCCTAATTATATGCGCCGTACTCCGCAACCAATGCTGGTGGGACTCCTTTACTGATGTCAATACAAGCACATGATCAAACTCTTTAACCTAAAATGGTAAGTAATAGAGTGAGCTTTGGGAAACTCATTAATATTAAACTACCAGATGTATGCAATAAGTCATCAGGTATAAATAAAGCATTGATTTTCTTAACGGTACAGACATTATCAGGTTCTACCGACGAGCTCAGATTTTAATAATCTTTCTTCAGGTAACAGTTAGGAAATCAAAAAGTTACCTTAGGAAATCAAAAATATGAAGGAAATATTTAGAGAGGGAGACTCGTGAGATTAAATTGGGGAGTATAGTGTGTTCCAACTAGAGGTGCTTAACGAGTTGAGCAGCTCGAACTCGACTCAGTTAAAATTCGGTAAACGCTCGACTCGAGTTGGCTCTACTGGAACTCGAACTCGACTCGAGACCTTAACGAACTGAGCCGAGCAAAGTCTAACTCAACTCGATAAGTTCACGAGCAGCTTGTTAATTTTTTAAAATATATTTTTAGTAATTACTTCAAAATTATTTCATTCAAAAAATAAATCTAAATAATAATTATTAATTTATTAATAAATAATAATAAATAATAAGTTAACTAATCTATTATTTTTAATAAATAAAATATTAGTAATTAATAATATTATTTTAATACAAAAAAACAATACCCTAATATCAAGCACGAGTATTTTTTTTAAATGAGGTAAATTTTTTAGTGAACTTAACGAGAAACGAATCGAGTCGAGAAGTAAATTTTTTTATTGAGCACGAGTCAAGCATTGACCAACTCGCGATCGACTCGCTCGATAAGCACCCCTAATTCCAACAAAATAGAGAAATATGTACAGACCCTTTAAAAACATTAGTAATTTAAAACATATTTTAAAACCACAGTAATACCCTCAAACCGAACACCGATATGCAGTTTCCCCATAACTTCATCCATAAGGACTTACCCTAAGCACACAACAAAGGAGCCACCCTAAGGGAGTACCTTGGGGCCTATGGGCTTACCCAAGGGTTTCTTTATGTCCGCAAGGATTTACCAACTTGATCAGAGTTGAACCTCCGTACTTCAGACTCCTACTCATACAATATATAGTAGAAATCAGATTGAACGATAACTTTATTATCAAAATCATGATATAGTATAATGTTGTAAAAAATGACAATGTAGTTATTTAAATCACATGAATGTCTTCCATTCGTACACCAAAATACAGTCCCCATACTAAGGGAGTGCCTTGGGGCCTTAGAGCATACCCAATGAATACCTTAGGTCCATAAGGAATTACCAACTTGATCAGAGTTGAACCTCCATACTCCAGAATCCTACCTAGACAATATCCCAAAATCGGTTCATAGTAGATTCCATTATCCATGAATCAGGAACAATTAAAATTTCCAATGAAAACAGGTAACCAGATACCACATTTCATGTAGTCATAGTGTTGAAAACATTTTGATGTTTCGAAATAACAAATTAAGTTAAATGAATTTTAAGATTTTACAAAAGATTTTCTAAGTATATTCGATATAATTATTCGAATATCAAAATATTACTCAAAGTCTTTCAAAGTTCATTTTAATCATTACTAAAGTGTAAAAATATGTTTTGATCTTTTAAACAAATTTACAAAGTATTTTAGAGCCTTAATCGAGCCAATAATATTTTTTTTAAAGGGGTTTCAAGAAAAACCAGATTGCCCAGAGGGAACAGATACCCCCTGAATGGTTTTGGTTCTGAGAAAACAGAATGTCCAGGGGGTACAGATTCCCCCCCAGGGGGTACCGATTCCCCCTGTTTAACGGTCGAAATATTTGAATTTTACACTGCAGGAACCGATTCCCTATGAGGGGGTACCGATTCCCCCCACGCTCCAAGCAGTTTTATTAATTGTTTTCACACTTAAACGACTATATTAACTCCACTAATGATCCCCAACGTTCAAAATCAATTGAAAGAGTATTTAAACTAGCTTAGAAGTCATTGATCAAGTACAAGAAACAACAATCAACAAGATTTGAGAGAGAATCAAAGAGAAAGCATCAAACTCATTGTTTGAGCACTTCAAGCCTATTTTTCATTCAATATTCATTGTGCTTTCAAGAACACCATTTGTGATCTATTGTATTTATCCTTGAGTGTTCTTTATTTGTTCTAGAATTGTGCAAATAATCTAACTTGTGAGGTTTTCCTTGTAAGTTTGCAAATTTGTGTATTTATCTTTAAAAAAGAGTGTGCTCAAGAATTTGTGGTATAATTCTTGAGGGAGTTGTAAGGTTACTCTTTTTCCTCAAAAGAAAGAACAAATTAGTGAATTTGTTGGAAAATTCTTAGTGTGGATAGCTAAGGTAGTGGACGTAGACTTTGGTTGATAAAGTCGAACCACTCTAAATCGATGTGCAAATATTTTCAATTTTCTGCAAAAGCTTCCACCAAAATTTTTATTGCCAATTCACCCCCCTCTTGGCCAATTCCATCAATCGATTAACTCAACACATAGTTCATAAACAGTAAATCAATGCATAAGTAAATCAGAATATCGAACAGTTAAAAGATTCAATAAAATAGTAACTTCGGTAAATCATATTTCAGGATAAATAAAATAATCATATAGAACATAGGGAACACACTAGAGAATCCAGTTATTTTACGGAGGTACTTGATATTTATTAGGTAGGGAGCCACAAAATTTCTGCAAACTGATTGAATTTCAGCACGAGATCCCTATAAAAAGGGGGTTTAATAGCTAACGGATTCATCAGTCATTCATGAAGTGATTTAACAATATCATATAGTATTCATATATTTTTCGGATGCGCTAAGTAATCAGGAAGATATTCAAAATCTGTTACGTTAGAGTTACTTGAGATTTCATATATGACAGGAGTGATTCCATTATTCAGGCAATCATAGTCATTTTAAACATTTTGGTTTCTTGAAGAATTCTTAGTAATTTAACCCAATGAGAGTAAAACATTAATTTAATAGTATTTAGGATTTATATCGAATTATTAGAATTCTGAGTCAAATTAAACTAACTAATCCCAACATTGTGATACTTGCTAATCATTCAGATCGAGGTACTTCACTATTATTCACTTCTTAATACCGATTGCTCTAGTTGAACTGATCATCTTTAGAATCATTGTTGAATGGATCTTAGGGAGACAAACATGTGTTTCAATGATATTTATTTCAATTATTTATTGCAACGGTATCAAGAAATGTCGATGTGCTTGATTCGTGGTTCAAAACTCTTATGGACGGTACAACATATAAGTTCATCAGTGTTTCCAGACTTATCCAAGTCATCCACTTAATTCTAGGTCATTAAGTATTCAAGTTTATCCCGGTCACTTTGGAGTTTCCAGAGTAATTCTATCGTTTCAACAATTCGGATACATACAATACTTCCATTCAGTTCAACTTTGTCATATAATATAATCATTTGAAATCAGAGGTTATTTTAGTTATTTTGCAGCTCGATGACATTTCGATAATTCTTTTCAATCCAAACATATGCATTATCTCTAGTAATTTGATCTTCAAGTGTTTATTCAATAATCAAAATCCTAAGACCTTTACCATCTTGGAAGTGATCATGATCATATACCAAGGTTTTCTTGGCAAAACAAACCTTTAACAAGTGATAAAGTAGTTTTATCAGGTCAGATATAAATTTCAGGGTTATTTCCAATTTCAAGGGAAGTTCTTATCCTTTTTACATCACATGGGTATTTTTGAAATTTCTTATTCATGTATATCTGACATTTAACCATTAACAAAAATAATCAGAATTTACGGATCTTAAGTTTAATTAATTTACTGATTATTCACTAAGCATGGATTTATTTCTTATCGATCTTTCAATTCCTTATACGAGTCATGCGAGTCTTATTCAGTTAACTAACTTTATATCGTATTCAATTCAAGACTAGCAATGATTAACTACACATAATTGACCAATCGTTATCATTAAAGCATTTACCAATTATCAACGGATTCCGTAAAGCATTCAAAAGGTAGTAAAATATTACCTCGATTTTTGAGCCACATCGGTCAACCAATTAAACTCCATTTGACCGCTCTCGAACTTTAATTCCATGTCCTATAATATCTCAGATACATGACAAAGCCAATTATGGAACTTAAACATGAAAATTTGTATTGAATCGGGAGATAAGATGTCGAAAATAGCTTACCGAGTTCAAATTTGGAAAAAAGGACTCCGGATTCGAACTCAAGACGTCGAGAAACATAAAATATGACTTTTCGAAAAATTTGACTTTTTAGTCAAAATCAACGGTCAAAGTCGACGGTAACTCTGATCAAAATCAACGGTCAGGTCAACGATCAAGTCAATTGTCAGTCAAAGTCAACGAGTTGACTCTGTCCTAGTTGACTCAATAGTTGACTCAACTCGACCCGGTTCGGTCTGATTGGACTGGTTCCAGAAGAGTCATGGACTGACAGAAGAGCCCTACACGCACTTTTGACGGGTGACGATACATGCGACGGCTGCGAAGGTTGCTTTGACCGATTGATTATCCCCGATTCATCTACACACTCAATTTAGCCAAAATCAACCCAAAATCACGACAAAAATACGCCAAAGCTCACTGGAATTCAATCGAGAACTTACCCCGACAGCAAACGGTGAAAAACGTCGACGACGCGAATACCCACCGGTTGGGTTTTGAACGCACAATGCCGGAGAAGCCAACGGAGGTGCCG